AGAGTGGACTGCAATGTGAATGCATGAACAATGACGACTTCACAGTACTAAGTGCTGTGAAGTGAACAAAATGAGCGAGTAGAGCAAGAAATCTGCATCAAATTCTGTTTTAAGCTTGAACATTCCTCTGTGGAAACTCTTTGGATGATTCAGAAAGCCACAGCTATGGGCAACTTGTGACTGGCAGCTTCATCATGACAACACGCCCGCTCATGCATCCCATCCTGTGCAGAGTTTTTTTTTGGTGAAACATCAAATTACCTGGGTGACTCAGCCCCACCCCCAGCTCAGATTTGGTGCCCTCTGACTTCTGGCTTTTCCCAAAACTAAAATCACCTTTGAAAGGGAAAAGATTTCAGACCATGAATGAGATCAGAAAAATATGAAGGGGCAGCTGATGGTGACTGGGAGTACTGTGTGAGGTCCCAAGGTGCATAATTTGAAGGGGATTGAGATGTCACTGTCTTACGCATGTTGTTTCTTGTATTTTCTTCAATAAGTGCCTCTATTTTTCATGTTATATGGCTGGATACCGTCTGGACAGACCTTGTATATGTCCTTTGGCTAATCCCCTCACCTCCTTTCATCCATTCCCTTTCTAACCCCTCCCCTCTGACAGCTTTGTCTGTTCCATGTATCCATGCCTCTGTTTCTATTTTGTTCATCATTTTGTTTTGTTCATTAGATTCCACATACAAATGAGATTATATGGTATTTGTCTTTCACCAACTGGCTCATTTCACTTAGCACAATAATCTCTAGGTCCATCCATGCCATTGTAAAAGGTAGACTTCCTTATTTTTTACAGCCACGTAGTGTTCCATTCCGTAAATGTACCGCAGGTTTTAACCCACTCATCTATTGATGGACACAGGCTGCTTCTGTATCTTGGCAACTGTAAATAATGCTGCAATGAACATAGGGGTGCTTATGTTCTCTCGAATTAGAGTTTTGGGTTTCTTTGGATAAACTCTCAGAAGTGGGACTGCTGGGTCAAAAGGCAAATCCATTTTTATTTTTTAGTTTTTTGAGGTTATCTCCATACTGCATTCTACAGTGGTTGTACCAATCTACATTCCCACAACAGTGCAAAAGTGTTCCCCTTTCTCCACATCCTCACCAGCACTTGTTGTTTGTTGATGACAGTCATTCTGACAGGTATGAGGTGATAATCTCATTGTGGTTTTCATTTGCATTTCTCTGATGATTAGGGATGCTGAGCATCTTTCCATACATTTATTGGCCATATATATCTTCTTTGAAAAAGTATCTATTCCAGCCCTTTGCCCATTTTATAATTGTATTGTCTAATTGGTGTTGAGTTGTGTAAGTTCTTTATACATTTTGAGAATTAACCCCTTATCAGATGTATAATTGGCAAATATGTTCTCCCATTCAATAGGTTCCCTTTTCATTTTGCTGTACAGAAACTTTTTATTTTGATGTAGCCCCATTTGTTTAATTTTTTCCTTTGTTTCCTTTGCCCTAGTAGATATATTGGCAAAAATATTGCTACAAAAGATGTCTGAGATTTTACTGCTTACTTTTCCTTCTAGGATTTTTCTTGTTTTATGACATACATTTAGTCCTTTATCCATTTTGAGTTTATTCTTGTGAATGATGTAAGTAGGCGGTCTAGTTTCATTTTTTTCGCATTCATCTTCCAATTTTCCTAACATCATTTATTGAAGAGACTGTCTTTATTCCATTGTATGTTCTTGCCTACTTTGTCAAATATTAATTGACCATTAAAGGCATGGGTTTATCTGTGTTTTCTGTTCTACATGCCTATTCTTATGCCAGTACCAGGCTGTTTTGATTATAATGGTCTTGTAGTAAAGTTTGATATCAGATATTGTGAGACCTCCAGCTGTGTCTGTCCTTCTTTCTCAAGACTGCCAAGACTATTCAGACTCTTTTTCCTGTTCCATATAAAATTTCAGAATATTTGTTCTAGATCTATGAAATACGATGCTGGTATTTTAATAGGCATTGCTTTGGGTAGTATGGACATTTTGATGATGTGGATTCTTCCCATCCATGAACACAATATATGCTTCCACTTATTTGTAGCTTCTCCAATTTCCTTCTTCAATGTCCTTTAGTTTTCTGGGTACAAGTCTTTCACATTCTTGATTAAATTTATTCCTAGGTACCTTTTTTTGTTGTTGCAGTAGTAAGTGAAATTGTTTTCTTAGTTTCTCTAATTGTTAATTATTGGTATATAAAAATGTTATCAATTCCTGGGTATTAACTTGTATCCTACTACTTTGCTGAATTGATTTATTAAATATAACAGTTTTTGGTGGAGTCTTTATGGTTTTCTATGTACAATATCATGTCATCTGCAAATAATGACAGTTTTACTTCCTCCATTCCAATTTGGATGCCTTTTATTTCTTCCTCTTGTCTGACTGCTGTGGCTAGGACTTCCAGTACTGTGTTGCATAAGAGTGGTGAAAGCAGACATCCCTGTCTTGTTCCTGATCTCAAGGGAAATGCTTTTAAGGTTTTGCCCAGTGAGTATGATTGCTGGCTGTAGGTTTTCCATATATGGCTTTTATTATGTTGAGGTATGATATCTGTATTCCTACTTTGTCTGGTTTTTATCATAAGTAGGTGCTATATTTTATTAAATGCTTTTCCTGCATCTATTGATATGAACATGTGATTTTTATCTTTCATTTTGTTTATGTGATGTATCACATTTACTCATTTGCAAATATTGTACCAATCTTGCATCCCTGGGATAAATCCTACTTGATCATGGTGTATGATCTTTCTGATACAATGATGGATCTGCTTTGTTAATATTCTGTTGAAGATTTTAGCACCTATGTTCATCAGGGATATTGCCCTATAACTATCTTCTTTGTAGTGTCTTTATCTGGTTTTGGAATTAGGATAATGTTGGCCTTTTAAAAGAGATTGAAAGTCTTCTCTCTTGTATTTTCTGGAATAACTTGAGGAGGATAGGTGTAGTTCTTATGTGAATGTTTGGTAAAATTCTCCTGTGAAGCCATCTGGTCTAGGACTTTTGCTTGCTGAAAGCTTTTTGATTACTGCTTCAATTTCATTAGTTGTAATTAGTCTATTCAAGTTTGATTCTTCCTGATGCACTTTTGGAAGACTGTATGCTTTTAGGAATTTATCCATTTCACCCCAGTTGCCCAATTTGTTGGCATATTGTTGTTTATAGTATTTTCTTACAATCTTTTGCTTTGTATTTCTGTGATTTCAGTTGTTACTACTCCTCTTTCATTTCTTTTATTTATTTGGTTTCTTTCTCTTTTTTACTTGATGAGTATGGTTAAAGGGTCATCAATCTTGTTTATCTTTTCAAAGAACCAGTTCTTTGTTTCATTGATTTTTTTAGTACTGTTTTTAGTCTCTGTCATTTACTTCCACAATGATCTTTATTATTTCCTTATTTATTATTACCTACTCTGGGCTTTATTTGTTGTTCTTTTTCTAGTTCTCTTGGTGTAGGCTTAGACTGTTTACTTGATACTTTTCTTGCTTCTTGAGGTACACCTGTGTGTTCATTTTCATTTCTTTCCAGATAATTTTTCATCTCTTCCTTGATCTCACTGATAACCCATTATTGTTTAATCACATGCTATTTGGCTTTTATATGTTTGTTTTTGAGTTTTTTTATTGTTGATTTTTAGTTTCATGCCATCGTGATCCGAGAAGATGCCTATGATTTTAATCTTCTTGAATTTGTTAAGACTTATTGTGTGTCCTTACCATGTGGTCTATCTTTGAGAATGTTCCATGTGCACTTGAGAAGAATGTATATTCTGCTGCTTTGAGATGAAATGTTCTATAAATATTAATTAAATCCATCTGATCTAGCCCTGGCTGGTGTGGTTTATTTGGTTGGAGCATCATCCTGTTTACCAAGAGGTTGGTGTTTGATTCCCATTCAAGGCACATGCCTAGGCTGTGGGTTCGATTCCCAGGTGAAGTATGTATGGGAGGTGGCTGACCGATGTCTCTCTCTCTCTTTCCTTTCTTATTCCTATATAAATCAATAAATATTTTTTATAAAATCCATCTGATCTAGTGTATTGTTTATGCTCACTGTGTCTTTGTTGATTTTTTTTGTCTGGAACGTCTATCCATTGATGATAGTGGGCTTGTAGGTCCCCTACCTTGGGATCAAGTAGTCAGGCCACTCAATTAGGGGAAAGTAACCTGCTTCAAAGCCAAACCCCTCAGTCTCTGCCAGATTCTTCAACTCCAGTTCCCCGTAGCGGGATTGCTGCAGATTCAGGACAGGTGTAGCCAGCTGTCCCCTATGCAAGAGCAAGCTCAGCTACCTTAGGCTCAGGGGGATAGATCAAAAGAATCTCCTACTGGGGACGATGCCAACCCAACCCAAAGGAGGATGCTAAGCACTTCATACCAGTCCCAAACAATAGCCTCTGAGAGTCTCACACTTTGAATGTCCCTGCTCTGATCCACTCTCCCTTCTCATGAAACGGTGCCTAGCAAGGGTATATCGGACTTGGTAAGGCTGATCCAAACAATCTTCCATTGGGGGTGGGGCCCATAAGTCTACAGGAGGGGGCGGGCACTTCTTTTCCTTCTCAAGGTAGTGCAGATTGAACTTGCAGGGGAGTTGGATCTGCATCCCCACAATGTAGCCACATAGCACAGCACTTGCCCATCTGGCTCCCATACAGAAGCCTCCCTGGAGACACAGTCCAAAAATCCTAGCTCTGTGCAGGTGGTCTCAGCAGGACAGGCTGAAAGTCCCAGCCCTGCACAGCTCTTCTGCACCATTGGGGCAGCCTAAGTCTTTTCCTATTCATCTTTGTGACACTGCATTGGGGTCTATATTACATTTTTGGTGATTTTAAAACTTTGCTCAGGGGTATCCTTGATAAATTTTAAATGCAGGAAAAAATAAAGTTATTTAAAACTACATTTAAAAAATAGCATTTCCTATTTTAATACTAAAATACCAGGGGAAAAAAAATCAATCTACTTACCTCAGTAATTGGCTGCCCCTGATGTGTCAAATCCAGTTCTTGAGGACGTGTTACTTTATCAATATCCAAAGAGTCCATGCTGGAAGCTGCAGAAGTGACACTGGAGCGAGAGGAGTTACTAATAGAATGAACTTCAGCATCACTCACTGTACCTGCTGATGCCGTTCTTCTGTGCTGATTAGTTATTGAGGGCTTAGTATCTTCTAGTACAGATTGCTGAGCAGCTTCATCCATGCTCAAGGAGGCCTGTTCTAACTGTGCAGTAATGTCATCCAGGGAGTAGTTGGCATGTGATGGTTTTGTTATCCTATTAGATGATGAAGACAATCCTTTCAAGGTGCCATGTTTTGATACATGTCGGCTAGGAGGTACTTTCTGAGTGGCTTTTGTTTCTGTGATTTGACGCTTACTATTTCCTGCACCGATACTGCTGAGCTCCTGCTCTATAGAGCAAAGATCGGCCATTAGGGCATCCAGATCCACAGTTTCTCCCTGATTCAGAGCTTCTGCAATGAACAACACACATGATGTTTCCACAACAACTGAATTGGAATGTGCACAGTCTATTATAAATCAGTTAATGAATTTGGAGGAAGAAGCAAAACATGTCATCCTACTGGGCCTAAAGCCTCTCGGGTATAATATTTCTAAATTTTTGTTTGTTTTATATTCCAAGAGAAATTCTTAGAAGCAAACAAATCATCTTTTAAGATTTATAGCAATCAGAGGAGAACAGATTATAGGAAAAGGTAAAAATAATACAAAAATTATACACTACCCCTAGTTTTAACCACATCCCCAGGGCAGTTTTTTACCAGAAGCTCTAAGTTAATATGATCAGTGCCCTAGTTGAGATGTCGCCTAAAGTGTTTAAGGCATAAAGAGAAATGTAAAGCCTAAAAAAATTATAGATTGGAATATAAACTTCAAGTACTATGAAGTTGAGTAGGTAGAAGACATTAATAAAGGCCAGAGGGGCTGATTACAAAATTACTAACAAGTATCTTTACTGGACTTTATTAATTTTTGTGGGGTTCCACCTGAGTATGTACTTTGTCAATTATTAGTAACTCAACTAGAATGTTATTTTAGTTATGTTCCAATTTCTTTTTTTCTGTGATAATTATTAGTACTAAAATACATAAATAAATATAAGAACTCATTCAAGTTATACATATCATTTTTATATCAAGCTATTTGGAATTGTAGCTGTATTGATTCTACATTATATAACTTAGTATACAATTTTACATTTTATATCCAATTACATCTTACCATTCAAGTTGTATATGGAGAAGCGATAAGAAAAATTGGCCATGTTTGTTTCCTGGCGAAGAGGAGATCTTTTCACTGGTTCCATGGGCTTGTCAGAATCTAAACTCTTTAAAAAAGAAAGTTTTATAAGTCATTATATTCATGCTTCAATTATATAAAAAGATAAAGTTGTTTTATGTTTAAGTAAATTATTACAGAATAGCCAATAAAATCTTAGTTTTTCTAGGTAATAGCCTTAAGTATATATTGGTTTTCATATTATTTTGGTTACAGTTTTTTTTTATTTTTTAGATAATTATCTTACTTAAGGCACTTGAGACTGTCATAGTTCAGGGTAAATATCTTTCCAAATACATCAAATACAACTACAGTTCATTTTACATCAGTTCACTATAAAATAAACTAGGCATATAAACATAGGCATGGTAAGATACATAGGAAAAAGTGATGCAGATAATTCTGTTATCTCTTTCCTCAGAACAGTTTGTTTTTGGTCTAGCACAGCATCATTCTTGGTATGAAGTACCCTGAAATAAGGTACAATTCTGGACTCAAAATTAGTAAGACTGAAGACCTTAACAGACTGGCTACAACTTTAAACAATAATGGAACATCACTGTTCTTTTCAGGTACTATGAGGGCACACTGTAACTCAGCTATACTGTTTGTGTTAAGTCTAGAATTATTCTGCACTTCAGGGTAGGATATCTGGTAAGTTATCTCACCGCATTTTAAAATGACACTTTTTCTAACCTTTCTACAATAAGGAAAGTTAGATGTTTACAACAGAGAAATTCAGGGTAAGGGTCAGTAGTTATTTAGCTTTTATTTAAATAATTTTCAAATGTTGAGATTAGTCTTTCAAAACTTTAATTTCTATCTGTAATTATCAAATAGATTTCAAATAAAAAAGAATGCTGGATAGTAGAATCATGGAATTAGATTAGACTATCATCTTCATTTATCTCAAGAGAAAGTGAATCCATTCGACAAGTGTCCATCCAGTTTTTATTACTTATTTAATTTTTAAAAAAGACTTTATTTACTTATTTCGAGAGAGGGGAATAGAGGGAGAAAGAAGAGATACATTTACATGTGGTTGCTTTGCGCATGCCCCCCGCCCCCCATCCCACCCGGAACCCAGGCATGTGCCCTAACTGGGAATCAAACCAGTGACCCTTTGGTTCATAGGCTGGCACTCAATCCACACCATCCAGGGCATCCATCCAGTTTTCAGAACTATCATATGAAGGAGGTTTATGATCATTCAGTGCCTTAGTTCAAAATTTCACAAAACAGCCGGGAAATATTTCTTTAACCTCAAATCTAAGTTCTTTTGTTGCAATTTAAGCCCTAAACCTCCTTATGTCAGTGGAAATGAAGATGAATAGGTAGGTAATGTTTTTGGTAAAGTAACTTTACAAAATGTAAAATATAACAGGGCATATTAAAAGTCAATTTACTTACCAGTTTAAATAAACAGATAATTATCTTCTGTGTCTATGGAGCTGGGGCAACAAGGGAAAGACCAAGAAATACTCGATACCAAAAAATTGATTATCTAGTAGGGTAGTTTTTAATCTAGGGCTTCACTGAGAATTTGAAAAAAACCTATGAATCTCCCAGAAAAAATGTAAATACACCCGCAATTTTACACATAATTTCAGAAGATTCACCAACTACTTAAAACTTAAACCTGATTTAATATAAAAGTGAAAATCCCATTAACACTGTATGTGTGATATAGGTGCATAGATGATATTTTTTAGTGAACTAAAATAATAAACAAAAATAATCTTGGATTTTTAGCCACTAACTTAGTAAAATCTTTGAAAATTTCTAAAGTGTTAAAAAGGACCTTAGCAGTGAGCCGCATTACACAGTTTTTAAAATGTCTTTCTCTCTAAAGACAGATTTGTATAATAAAAAGAACAGTCATAGCATTAGTTAAGGAGCCGACTTTTTTGGTGAGTGGGTCTCCACATTTAGATGTCAGGGGATTTAAAATATGAAGAAGAATTAAAGGTACTGAGCCAGTAGAAATACCATCTGCAGTGGAGTAGCATGGAGTACCACTCCATCTAGGAGGGCTGAAGTGATACCTATTTGTCTTTTCTCTTTATGGTCCCCTTCCCGTGTATGAACATTTAAACCATACAGCCAAGGAAACCCCACACACATGCCAGCTGAACTTCACATACATTTATTCCTTCATACATTATTTTCTGTTTCCTCCATTTTACTTCCTCTTTCCTTTTTCTCCTCAGCATAGAATTGCATAGCCTAGCCATCATCTCTATGCCAAAATCACCTTTTGTAAAAAATTAAGAATTAAACTGATATGGTTTCATAACTACAGATAGATATAAGACCTTTCTCTCAACAAATAATGTTATTTCTTCTGACTAGAGATGAAGAGAATGATTCTTATGAGATCCTAGTGGAATTGAAAGCATTCTCAAAATTCAGCAATAACAAATTCTGGTTAGAAACATGTCTGCTTTTCAAAATGGTCTAAGAATTATGTGAAGAGAGTATCAGTTAATTACAGACTGTAATAGAAAGAAACAAACCAGCACTTTTAAGTTTTCACCTTAGCATCTTTTCTACTAATTAAGGAATCACATACTTAAGCAATTTTACACAAAAGTTCTTCCCAGAGATATTAACAGATGAATGAAAATAATTTTTGTTCTACTTTTCTCATTGCCATAAAGGTAAAGTTGTTTTAATACATATAACCATTTTCATGTATTAAATATAATGTATTAACTGAGGTAGTAACAGTATACTCTTTATTCAAAGTGATCGTGTTTAGAGATAAGGTTGTTCTGTAAAAACAAACAAAAAAGCCTCAAGATACAATAAAACCAAAATGGAAAAAGCTTTGCACTGTTTTAAAATGCAACTGGGAATGGAATTTTGTCAGTATTCCGGAACGATGTAATTGAAAATATTTGCATGTGAAGATATTTATGTTGTAAAATGTATTCAAATTAACTAAGTTATGAAATAGGAGTTACTAAAATTTAGACTTTAAAATTTTATGCTTTAAAATATTTTAACCAGCAATTTCAATTTATGAAACAGATTTTAATTAATCCCTACAGATGAACAGAATCTCTGTCACAAGTATTTTTTAAAACTTTCAAATACTCAGAGAAGGTAATATCTTGTCCTATAGTATTATTCATTTACTTGTTAATGCTTTGGACATTTTCCTTTTACAGAAGTATTTAAAAATATAACCTACATCCATGTCCTTATGAACATACCATAAGCTTTTAGCACACGGTGATGACTTAAAACCCTTAACCAGTTTTTCAAGCACTATTTCTAACCTGAGTGAGTTTGTCTAGCTCTCCCAGCCAGGCTCCAAACATTTTGTCCAGGTCTTGATCTTCTTTGTCACTGTCTTCTTCAGCACCATGGTCGATTTCTTCATCTGATAGCTGCTCCATCTGAAACACATTTACACAGAGTAGATAGTTACAGGTTAATCTTGAAAAGGTATCTCAGTGGAAATGGAAATATTAAAAGCTCAGAGACCTCTTCAGTAAAGCTTATGCAGTGAGTGTTCTGATATATATTGCAACTCTCTGGGAGTCAAACCTTCAAAACTATAAAGATTATATTATAAAAGGAAATTAGAAGTGATTCTGGAGTCAGGGTTGGCAAGTGAGTAGAAATGAGCAATTAAGTTTCAAATTTTTAGAAAACTATGAAGGAGTGAACTGTATCCTACTATGACCAGAATCACAAGTATAAATAATGTAAAAATTGAATATCACTCCCATTATTAGAGGATATGACAGAACAGTTCTCTCTACTAATAGATTAAAAAATGCCCCAAATGCCACAAAATTCCAGAAGACTGTAATGCAACAAGTTATTTATTTTGTAAAAATTTGTTTAGATACAAATAAGTATGTATCTTGCAAAAGCTTAGTCCAAGAAGCATTTCAGAGAAAAGAAAAAACAAAAATTTTAATAGTTTGTTGAATCAGTTCCTCCTATCCTTGTCTCACCTTGTACCCCCATCTGTCTATTCCCTCACTTGCCCATTTGTTCCTGCAAAATCCAAGGAACTAGAATTGAAACAGAAAACCAGAATTAAATTAGTATACAAAATTTCCCTGTGTGGTGACTTTTTAAGTATAGTCCCTTGAACAAAAAGGTATTTTCCTTCTTCCCATTAATAAAACAATGTGATAGTCCTGGATGGTGTGGCTCCGTAGGTTTAGTACCAGCCTGGGAACCTAAAGGTTGCCAGTTCATTTCCCAGTCAGGGCTTGGGTTATGGGGCCAGGTTCCCTGGTTGGAGGTGGAGAACTGATCAATGTTTCTCTCACACATCAGTGTTTCTCTCCTTTTCTTTCCCCATCCCTCCCTTCTCTCTAAAAAAATAAATACAATCTTTAAAAAATAAAATGTCATATCTGACATGGAACTTGCATATTACTTTGTGAAAGGAGGGAAAGTTTACACAAAACAAAATAAGATCAATGACTGACCAGAAACTTAAAGTCCTTTAAGTAAAATTAATCTAATTAAAACAATTTCAATATTAAAAGCTCAGAGACCTCTTCAGTAAAGCTTAGTTTTGTTTAAAACAACATATTCTATAGTTTCAAAATTTATCTGACTACAAATCTTTTTCCTTCAACTTGGAGTAATACCTATTAACTTTCCTAGGGACACAATTAGTATCATAATTGTATATTCTATATTCTTGACTCATATTTCTGAAACACATATTTTGTTCTACTGGATCTTGGAAATATCTGGGATACAACCTGCCAGATGGTTTAAAAAATTCTTCAGAAATTAAAGATATCCTTAATCTCAAATAAGAATTTGTACTATCTTACACCTCCAAAGAAGCAATCAACAAAATTACCTCTGTGATCCTTAAATGTGGTTATGAATAGGTAAAGTGCTAATTAGCTGATGAGATATCATTAAGTTAAAATTTAAACCTTATTTTACTATATAAAAATTTGCAGAAAGGGTCAAATAATGTTGACAAAATCAAACTGAAATTAGCTCTAACAAGGTTAAAATTCAGACCATATCTCATTTTAATCACTGAAGGGAAATAATTTTCTTAAGCTTAATTAACTACAAAGGATAACAGCTTATCAATATCTCTAATAGAAACTGTTCTAATTTCTTAATTTCACTACTCTAAGCATGTATAAATCATGGAATTCTATCTTGACAAATGAAAATGAATCCACTAATCTTCCAATTCATAAATGTGGCTCTTGAAGAGATTTGGTTCTTAAACTCACTTGTGTTAATACTATTTCTAAGATTTTTATTCATTGCTCAACTATCCACAGATCAATCTCAATTGTTATCATCCTTCATTAAATTATCTACCCATGAACAATATAAAATGTTACTGCAAAGAAAAACCTCATGTGATCAGGTGACTTATTATATAACAACACAGCTAGTTTGAGAACATCCAGTAGTGGTAATACCTGGTCTTCATAATGGGAGTGAACAAGCAACAGAACTGGGAAGGATAATGGTCAGCTTTCTCTTCCTCCCTAATTTTCAAAACTAAACACATTAGAGTAACCTAGAAGCAAAAATATTAGGAGGAATTCTGCTTTTGGATGATACTGATGTCTGCACTTTCCTTCTGAGCACATACTGTAATTGCCCATAAAGAAGATGCTACAATGAAAAAAAGAAAAAGAAAAAGGAAACAGAATTTTACAGGGCAAACACAGCACCATTCAAAATGAATTTTAGTATTTTAAATTACCACAGAACCATACAGAACAGCAGACTCCACATCAAAGTCTGGTTTTGTGAGTTTCTTATCATATTTAAATCCAATAATTATTTGCATTTAAAAAACCTCTTTAAATATTTTCACTAATAGTTTTGTTTATCTAGAGTACTACAGACTCAAGTAGAATAATGGAACAGGGAAATTTTGAAGCATCTATTCAACTTTTACCATTAATATAACTTGTCGATTTTAGTATTTCTTGAATTCCTATTACCATCTGGGTTATTTTTATAAAAATTAACTTTAGGCACTTATTCAGAGACTTTTCCAATAAAAGTTTAGGTTCTGCAACATTTAAGGATCTACACTCTAAAATAGCACTCTCTGTTCTCTTGACACTGATGTTGATCTTCAGTCTCTTTCCTCCACTATGGCATCATTTCTGTTTATTATGCACAGCAAATAAGCAGCCCCCAGCATGTTTTTTTTTTAGTCCCTGCACTGTCTAAAGTAAGCAAATCTAGTACGCAAATTCATTTTTTGTTATATATCAAGGTCTGTCTCCAATTAAATCACAACTCTAAACCTGAATTTTCCCAACATAATGCCCTTACTCATAATGATGGCAGCATAAAATGCAAATAAAATAATACAATAGTCAGTCAACTGTTGCTCCAAACAAAGGAAAGAATAAGTAAAAGAAAATAGAGCTTATAAATTTTGCTTTTAAAATCATTTGGATTTAAATGAATACTTTCTAATATGATGCTTTTCCTTAATGATGTACAAATAGGTCTGAGGAAACTATAATTATACTAGAACAAATACTATTATTCTGTGATTATTAGATTAGGTACTTTGGGGGAATATATTAAAGTTTTACTTAAATTCTTGCTCCATTGCACTTATGTCCTGAAAGAATAAACGTGTCCTAGCACAAAAGAAAAGGTTTACTCCCTGCAAGGTGCAGACATTTTGAATATAAACTAAAATCCAAAGTTGCTGGCAGGTCAACAGGCCTTCAAGGGACCTTTCTGACCTTTCTTCCTATTCTCCCCTCCAGCCACACTGAGAGGGTGTGGATTCTGTTTCGAAGGTAGACTGAGAGATGTCTGGGAAACATCCAACTGGGAAAAAAAATGAGGAAGAGTTAAGCTAATGAGGAGGTTTAGTTAGCCTGAATATTATTTCAAAATCATGTTTTTTAGAGAAAGATCATAGATTATGGTAATAATAATTAATAGTTTCAACTAATTTACATTTATTTTACTCATGGATACAAATAGAAATAATGGGGAAACACAACCATTGCTTATATGCTGGCTGGTTTCATTTCATAAATAATAGTGAGTTATCATGCTTCATTTACTATTAGTTAAAACTTGTAATGTTAGTAAGCTCCACTACACATAATGACACCATCCATTTAGTATGCAACAATATTATTCCCATTAAATTTTCCATGAAGTTAATAATTCAAGCATATTTTCCCTACTAACCTTCGTTTTGGGAGTTATTTTTGTTTACTATTCAATTTCCCCAATGTGAGATGGAATAATGATCTTTATCAAGAAGGCTGGGCTTAGATTAGGATTTAAAAATTTGAATGAATACATTCAGAACAAAAGTGAGATTTAAGTCAAGGACTACAGTGGGATCTGATCATACAGAATCATGAAAACCAAGCCCCACTCCCACCCCAAGACAACTGGATTCTTACTCATAGAAATGAAAAGGGCTAGGGGAAGAAATGGGATTTTATTCAAAGGACATAGTACCAGTATAAAAGTCACTAAAGAAGGCTATTATATATTTTAGATAGAGATATTATAGATGGGGAAACTGAAGTCCCGAGAGGAAATAAACTTACACAAATCAAATACTGAGAGAGTGGCAAGAAAAATACATGGTATATAGCTGGGGTATATAGTTAGGGTGCCTCTTTTTGTCCTTTTAATAATTCAAAAATAATTGCTTTTTGTAAAAATAAGTAATCTATATTTAAAACCACACGAAATCTCTCAGAATACAGGACCACAGAGCTGCCATTACAGCATTTCTCTAAGTCTAGCATGCTCAGTGTTCCAAAGAGGCAAAGAGGCAAGATGTAATATTTACTATACATCTACCACGTGCCAGACACTGGAAGAACAGAGATGAACACGACAGCCTCTGTCCTGAAGGAATATAATCCAGTAAGGAATAGACAAGGAAAACAATGATGAAACACTGTGTTAAGTGCTATAATAGAAGTATGTTACATGAATGTAGTTTAACTCAATTTGAGAAGGAATGATGAAAGGTGTGATGCTTAGGTAACATCTCAAGAATGATGTGCAAAGCAGATAAGTGGAAGGGTGTTTTAGGCAGAGGGTCCATCCAACGTGTGCAAGTATATACAGGTGTGAGAAAGTAAGACAAGTGAGAACTCTTAAGTGCTAACATTTCTGAAGCACAGCTTGTATGGTGGTGGTATTGCATGCCATCAAGTGGGCCCTGACCCTGTGAAGGCGTGAGCTGTCTCCCTATAAGGTTTTCAGATAAGAAAGGTAAGATGAGGGAAAAAATGCAGCAGTGATTTACCATTGCCTTATGCTGCAGTGTTTGGGTACATGGTGCCGTAAATCACCAAAAGCCTATAAAGTGTAAGTGCCTCTGCAAGGTTGTGTTGTGTAGACCTCTGGAAAATGGGGCTGGAGAAAAGGTAGGGTCAAAATTATAAGCCACACTAAGGAGTTTGGTCATGATCCTGTCCAGTAATGATTTTTTAATTGTGGTCTGCTGATGACATGCCTCAGAATTACCTGGAGTGCTTCATTTAAAGTCAGTTTTAAATTGTCTACCCAAGATCTACTCAATACTAATTTCCAGAGAGTGGGACATTTTCAACAAATTCCCACAGGTATTTCTTATGTTCACTAAAGTCTGAAGACTGCTGTAGTGTGTTGTATTACAATTACTGGGAGGACCTGCAAGACAAAAGTAATGGAGCTTTGCAGAGCCACAATTTGGTTAAAGCAGAATAATCTAGGAGTACTCCCTAAGACTAAAAAGAAAATAGGCAGCATCAGGATTCCCTAATTAACACACCTCAACTACTCCTCCTCCATTAGCATACTCCCATGCTTCTGTGGGTTATTCATATAGAAATAAATTTTAGTTCTTTACATCCAGATATATTTCAGTAGCGCTTGCGCGCGCGCGCTCTCTCTCTCTCTCTCTCTCTCTCTCTCTCTCTCTCTCTCACACACACACACACACACACACACACACACACACACACACAATTCCAATGCTGCTCTAATTCCATAAATAATTCCCCCGCGCCCCCAAAAAAAC